ATGTTGCTCCTCTGCTTATTCCACTCTAATTCTACAATGAGCTCTATTGATGAGAAGCCTCTTTCATGGTTCATCAGACTGATTCATGATACTTGCATTCATTTGAATAAATCTATGTTGCTCCTCTGCTTATTCCACTCTAATTCTACAATGAGCTCTATTGATGAGAAGCCTTTTCATGGTTCATCAGACTGATTCATGATACTTGCATTCATTTGAATAAATCTATGTTGCTCCTCTGCTTATTCCACTCTAATTCTACAATGAGCTCTATTGATGAGAAGCCTCTTTCATGGTTCATCAGACTGATTCATGATACTTGCATTCATTTGAATAAATCTATGTTGCTCCTCTGCTTATTCCACTTAATTCTACAATGAGCTCTATTGATGAGAAGCCTCTTTCATGGTTCATCAATGATTCATGATACTTGCATTCATTTGAATAAATCTATGTTGCTCCTCTGCTTATTCCACTCTAAATGAGCCTATTGATGAGAAGCCTCATGGTTCATCAGACTGATTCATGATACTTGCATTCATTTGAATAAATCTATGTTGCTCCTCTGCTTATTCCACTCTAATTCTACAATGAGCTCTATTGATGAGAAGCCTCTTTCATGGTTCATCAGACTGATTCATGATACTTGCATTCATTTGAATAAATCTATGTTGCTCCTCTGCTTATTCCACTCTAATTCTACAATGAGCTCTATTGATGAGAAGCCTCTTTCATGGTTCATCAGACTGATTCATGATACTTGCATTCATTTGAATAAATCTATGTTGCTCCTCTGCTTATTCCACTCTAATTCTACAATGAGCTCTATTGATGAGAAGCTCTTTCATGGTTCATCAGACTGATTCATGATACTTGCATTCATTTGAATAAATCTATGTTGCTCCTCTGCTTATTCCACTTTAATTCTACAATGAGCTCTATTGATGAGAAGCCTCTTTCATGGTTCATCAGACTGATTCATGATACTTGCATTCATTTGAATAAATCTATGTTGCTCCTCTGCTTATTCCACTCTAATTCTACAATGAGCTCTATTGATGAGAAGCCTCTTTCATGGTTCATCAGACTGATTCATGATACTTGCATTCATTTGAATAAATCTATGTTGCTCCTCTGCTTATTCCACTCTAATTCTACAATGAGCTCTATTGATGAGAAGCCTCTTTCATGGTTCATCAGACTGATTCATGATACTTGCATTCATTTGAATAAATCTATGTTGCTCCTCTGCTTATTCCAATTCTAATTCTACAATGAGCTCTATTGATGAGAAGCCTCTTCATGGTTCATCAGACTGATTCATGATACTTGCATTCATTTGAATAAATCTATGTTGCTCCTCTGCTTATTCCACTTTAATTCTACAATGAGCTCTATTGATGAGAAGCCTCTTTCATGGTTCATCAGACTGATTCATGATACTTGCATTCATTTGAATAAATCTATGTTGCTCTCCTGCTTATTCCACTCTAATTCTACAATGAGCTCTATTGATGAGAAGCCTCTTTCATGGTTCATCAGACTGATTCATGATACTTGCATTCATTTGAATAAATCTATGTTGCTCCTCTGCTTATTCCACTCTAATTCTACAATGAGCTCTATTGATGAGAAGCCTCTTTCATGGTTCATCAGACTGATTCATGATACTTGCATTCATTTGAATAAATCTATGTTGCTCCTCTGCTTATTCCACTTTAATTCTACAATGAGCTCTATTGATGAGAAGCCTCTTTCATGGTTCATCAGACTGATTCATGATACTTGCATTCATTTGAATAAATCTATGTTGCTCCTCTGCTTATTCCACTCTAATTCTACAATGAGCTCTATTGATGAGAAGCCTCTTTCATGGTTCATCAGACTGATTCATGATACTTGCATTCATTTGAATAAATCTATGTTGCTCCTCTGCTTATTCCACTCTAATTCTACAATGAGCTCTATTGATGAGAAGCCTCTTTCATGGTTCATCAGACTGATTCATGATACTTGCATTCATTTGAATAAATCTATGTTGCTCCTCTGCTTATTCCACTCTAATTCTACAATGAGCTCTATTGATGAGAAGCCTCTTTCATGGTTCATCAGACTGATTCATGATACTTGCATTCATTTGAATAAATCTATGTTGCTCCTCTGCTTATTCCACTCTAATTCTACAATGAGCTCTATTGATGAGAAGCCTCTTTCATGGTTCATCAGACTGATTCATGATACTTGCATTCATTTGAATAAATCTATGTTGCTCCTCTGCTTATTCCAATCTAATTCTACAATGAGCTCTATTGATGAGAAGCCTCTTTCATGGTTCATCAGACTGATTCATGATACTTGCATTCATTTGAATAAATCTATGTTGCTCCTCTGCTTATTCCACTCTTAATTCTAAATGAGCTCTATTGATGAGAAGCCTCTTTCATGGTTCATCAGACTGATTCATGATACTTGCATTCATTTGAATAAATCTATGTTGCTCCTCCTTATGCTTATTCCACTCTAATTCTACAATGAGCTCTATTGATGAGAAGCCTCTTTCATGGTTCATCAGACTGATTCATGATACTTGCATTCATTTGAATAAATCTATGTTGCTCCTCTGCTTATTCCACTTAATTCTACAATGAGCTCTATTGATGAGAAGCCTCTTTCATGGTTCATCAGACTGATTCATGATACTTGCATTCATTTGAATAAATCTATGTTGCTCCTCTGCTTATTCCACTTTAATTCTACAATGAGCTCTATTGATGAGAAGCCTCTTTCATGGTTCATCAGACTGATTCATGATACTTGCATTCATTTGAATAAATCTATGTTGCTCCTCTGCTTATTCCACTCTAATTCTACAATGAGCTCTATTGATGAGAAGCCTCTTTCATGGTTCATCAGACTGATTCATGATACTTGCATTCATTTGAATAAATCTATGTTGCTCCTCTGCTTATTCCACTCTAATTCTACAATGAGCTCTATTGATGAGAAGCCTCTTTCATGGTTCATCAGACTGATTCATGATACTTGCATTCATTTGAATAAATCTATGTTGCTCCTCTGCTTATTCCACTCTAATTCTACAATGAGCTCTATTGATGAGAAGCCTCTTTCATGGTTCATCAGACTGATTCATGATACTTGCATTCATTTGAATAAATCTATGTTGCTCCTCTGCTTATTCCACTTTAATTCTACAATGAGCTCTATTGATGAGAAGCTTTTCATGGTTCATCAGACTGATTCATGATACTTGCATTCATTTGAATAAATCTATGTTGCTCCTCTGCTTATTCCACTTTTAATTCTACAATGAGCTCTATTGATGAGAAGCCTTTCATGGTTCATCAGACTGATTCATGATACTTGCATTCATTTGAATAAATCTATGTTGCTCCTCTGCTTATTCCACTCTAATTCTACAATGAGCTCTATTGATGAGAAGCCTCTTTCATGGTTCATCAGACTGATTCATGATACTTGCATTCATTTGAATAAATCTATGTTGCTCCTCTGCTTATTCCACTTTAATTCTACAATGAGCTCTATTGATGAGAAGCCTCTTTCATGGTTCATCAGACTGATTCATGATACTTGCATTCATTTGAATAAATCTATGTTGCTCCTCTGCTTATTCCACTCTAATTCTACAATGAGCTCTATTGATGAGAAGCCTCTTTCATGGTTCATCAGACTGATTCATGATACTTGCATTCATTTGAATAAATCTATGTTGCTCCTCTGCTTATTCCACTTAATTCTACAATGAGCTCTATTGATGAGAAGCCTCTTTCATGGTTCATCAGACTGATTCATGATACTTGCATTCATTTGAATAAATCTATGTTGCTCCTCTGCTTATTCCACTTTAATTCTACAATGAGCTCTATTGATGAGAAGCCTCTTTCATGGTTCATCAGACTGATTCATGATACTTGCATTCATTTGAATAAATCTATGTTGCTCCTCTGCTTATTCCACTCTAATTCTACAATGAGCTCTATTGATGAGAAGCCTCTTTCATGGTTCATCAGACTGATTCATGATACTTGCATTCATTTGAATAAATCTATGTTGCTCCTCTGCTTATTCCACTCTAATTCTACAATGAGCTCTATTGATGAGAAGCCTCTTTCATGGTTCATCAGACTGATTCATGATACTTGCATTCATTTGAATAAATAAAATGAGCTCTATTGATGAGAAGCCTCTTTCATGGTTCATCAGACTGATTCATGATACTTGCATTCATTTGAATAAATCTATGTTGCTCCTCTGCTTATTCCACTCTAATTCTACAATGAGCTCTATTGATGAGAAGCCTCTTTCATGGTTCATCAGACTGATTCATGATACTTGCATTCATTTGAATAAATCTATGTTGCTCCTCTGCTTATTCCACTTTAATTCTACAATGAGCTCTATTGATGAGAAGCCTCTTCATGGTTCATCAGACTGATTCATGATACTTGCATTCATTTGAATAAATCTATGTTGCTCCTCTGCTTATTCCACTTTAATTCTACAATGAGCTCTATTGATGAGAAGCCTCTTTCATGGTTCATCAGACTGATTCATGATACTTGCATTCATTTGAATAAATCTATGTTGCTCCTCTGCTTATTCCACTCTTAATTCTACAATGAGCTCTATTGATGAGAAGCCTCTTTCATGGTTCATCAGACTGATTCATGATACTTGCATTCATTTGAATAAATCTATGTTGCTCCTCTGCTTATTCCACTCTAATTCTACAATGAGCTCTATTGATGAGAAGCCTCTTTCATGGTTCATCAGACTGATTCATGATACTTGCATTCATTTGAATAAATCTATGTTGCTCCTCTGCTTATTCCACTCTAATTCTGCAATGAGCTCTATTGATGAGAAGCCTCCTTCATGGTTCATCAGACTGATTCATGATACTTGCATTCATTTGAATAAATCTATGTTGCTCCTCTGCTTATTCCACTTTCAATTCTACAATGAGCTCTATTGATGAGAAGCCTCTTTCATGGTTCATCAGACTGATTCATGATACTTGCATTCATTTGAATAAATCTATGTTGCTCCTCTGCTTATTCCACTTTAATTCTACAATGAGCTCTATTGATGAGAAGCCTCTTTCATGGTTCATCAGACTGATTCATGATACTTGCATTCATTTGAATAAATCTATGTTGCTCCTCTGCTTATTCCACTCTAATTCTACAATGAGCTCTATTGATGAGAAGCCTCTTTCATGGTTCATCAGACTGATTCATGATACTTGCATTCATTTGAATAAATCTATGTTGCTCCTCTGCTTATTCCACTTTAATTCTACAATGAGCTCTATTGATGAGAAGCCTCTTTCATGGTTCATCAGACTGATTCATGATACTTGCATTCATTTGAATAAATCTATGTTGCTCCTCTGCTTATTCCACTTTAATTCTACAATGAGCTCTATTGATGAGAAGCCTCTTTCATGGTTCATCAGACTGATTCATGATACTTGCATTCATTTGAATAAATCTATGTTGCTCCTCTGCTTATTCCACTCTAATTCTACAATGAGCTCTATTGATGAGAAGCCTCTTTCATGGTTCATCAGACTGATTCATGATACTTGCATTCATTTGAATAAATCTATGTTGCTCCTCTGCTTATTCCACTCTAATTCTACAATGAGCTCTATTGATGAGAAGCCTTTTCATGGTTCATCAGACTGATTCATGATACTTGCATTCATTTGAATAAATCTATGTTGCTCCTCTGCTTATTCCACTTTAATTCTACAATGAGCTCTATTGATGAGAAGCCTCTTTCATGGTTCATCAGACTGATTCATGATACTTGCATTCATTTGAATAAATCTATGTTGCTCCTCTGCTTATTCCACTCTAATTCTACAATGAGCTCTATTGATGAGAAGCCTCTTTCATGGTTCATCAGACTGATTCATGATACTTGCATTCATTTGAATAAATCTATGTTGCTCCTCTGCTTATTCCAATTTAATTCTACAATGAGCTCTATTGATGAGAAGCCTCCTTTCATGGTTCATCAGACTGATTCATGATACTTGCATTCATTTGAATAAATCTATGTTGCTCCTCTGCTTATTCCACTCTTAATTCTACAATGAGCTCTATTGATGAGAAGCCTCTTTCATGGTTCATCAGACTGATTCATGATACTTGCATTCATTTGAATAAATCTATGTTGCTCCTCTGCTTATTCCACTCTAATTCTACAATGAGCTCTATTGATGAGAAGCCTCTTTCATGGTTCATCAGACTGATTCATGATACTTGCATTCATTTGAATAAATCTATGTTGCTCCTCTGCTTATTCCACTCTAATTCTACAATGAGCTCTATTGATGAGAAGCCTCTTTCATGGTTCATCAGACTGATTCATGATACTTGCATTCATTTGAATAAATCTATGTTGCTCCTCTGCTTATTCCACTTTTAATTCTACAATGAGCTCTATTGATGAGAAGCCTCTTTCATGGTTCATCAGACTGATTCATGATACTTGCATTCATTTGAATAAATCTATGTTGCTCCTCTGCTTATTCCACTCTAATTCTACAATGAGCTCTATTGATGAGAAGCCTCTTTCATGGTTCATCAGACTGATTCATGATACTTGCATTCATTTGAATAAATCTATGTTGCTCCTCTGCTTATTCCACTTTTTAATTCTACAATGAGCTCTATTGATGAGAAGCCTCTTTCATGGTTCATCAGACTGATTCATGATACTTGCATTCATTTGAATAAATCTATGTTGCTCCTCTGCTTATTCCACTCTAATTCTACAATGAGCTCTATTGATGAGAAGCCTTTTCATGGTTCATCAGACTGATTCATGATACTTGCATTCATTTGAATAAATCTATGTTGCTCCTCTGCTTATTCCACTCTAATTCTACAATGAGCTCTATTGATGAGAAGCCTCTTTCATGGTTCATCAGACTGATTCATGATACTTGCATTCATTTGAATAAATCTATGTTGCTCCTCTGCTTATTCCACTCTAATTCTACAATGAGCTCTATTGATGAGAAGCCTCTTTCATGGTTCATCAGACTGATTCATGATACTTGCATTCATTTGAATAAATCTTGCCATTCATTTGAATTGATGAGAAGCCTCTTTTCATGGTTCATCAGACTGATTCATGATACTTGCATTCATTTGAATAAATCTATGTTGCTCCTCTGCTTATTCCACTCTTATTCTACAATGAGCTCTATTGATGAGAAGCCTCTTTCATGGTTCATCAGACTGATTCATGATACTTGCATTCATTTGAATAAATCTATGTTGCTCCTCTGCTTATTCCACTCTAATTCTACAATGAGCTCTATTGATGAGAAGCCTCTTCATGGTTCATCAGACTGATTCATGATACTTGCATTCATTTGAATAAATCTATGTTGCTCCTCTGCTTATTCCACTTTCTTATTCTACAATGAGCTCTATTGATGAGAAGCCTTTTCATGGTTCATCAGACTGATTCATGATACTTGCATTCATTTGAATAAATCTATGTTGCTCCTCTGCTTATTCCACTTTAATTCTACAATGAGCTCTATTGATGAGAAGCCTCTTTCATGGTTCATCAGACTGATTCATGATACTTGCATTCATTTGAATAAATCTATGTTGCTCCTCTGCTTATTCCACTTTAATTCTACAATGAGCTCTATTGATGAGAAGCCCTTTCATGGTTCATCAGACTGATTCATGATACTTGCATTCATTTGAATAAATCTATGTTGCTCCTCTGCTTATTCCACTCTAATTCTACAATGAGCTCTATTGATGAGAAGCCTCTTTCATGGTTCATCAGACTGATTCATGATACTTGCATTCATTTGAATAAATCTATGTTGCTCCTCTGCTTATTCCACTTAATTCTACAATGAGCTCTATTGATGAGAAGCCTTCTTTGATGGATTTGCATTCATTTGAATAAATCTGGTTCATGAGACTGATTCATGATTCATGCATTCATTTGAATAAATCTATGTTGCTCCTCTGCTTATTCCAATCTAATTCTACAATGAGCTCTATTGATGAGAAGCCTCTTTCATGGTTCATCAGACTGATTCATGATACTTGCATTCATTTGAATAAATCTATGTTGCTCCTCTGCTTATTCCACTCTAATTCTACAATGAGCTCTATTGATGAGAAGCCTCTTTCATGGTTCATCAGACTGATTCATGATACTTGCATTCATTTGAATAAATCTATGTTGCTCCTCTGCTTATTCCACTCTTATTCTACAATGAGCTCTATTGATGAGAAGCCTCTTTCATGGTTCATCAGACTGATTCATGATACTTGCATTCATTTGAATAAATCTATGTTGCTCCTCTGCTTATTCCAATTTTTAATTCTACAATGAGCTCTATTGATGAGAAGCCTTTTCATGGTTCATCAGACTGATTCATGATACTTGCATTCATTTGAATAAATCTATGTTGCTCCTCTGCTTATTCCACTCTAATTCTACAATGAGCTCTATTGATGAGAAGCCTCTTTCATGGTTCATCAGACTGATTCATGATACTTGCATTCATTTGAATAAATCTATGTTGCTCCTCTGCTTATTCCACTCTAATTCTACAATGAGCTCTATTGATGAGAAGCCTCTTTCATGGTTCATCAGACTGATTCATGATACTTGCATTCATTTGAATAAATCTATGTTGCTCCTCTGCTTATTCCACTCTAATTCTACAATGAGCTCTATTGATGAGAAGCCTCTTTCATGGTTCATCAGACTGATTCATGATACTTGCATTCATTTGAATAAATCTATGTTGCTCCTCTGCTTATTCCACTTTTAATTCTACAATGAGCTCTATTGATGAGAAGCCTCTTTCATGGTTCATCAGACTGATTCATGATACTTGCATTCATTTGAATAAATCTATGTTGCTCCTCTGCTTATTCCACTCTAATTCTACAATGAGCTCTATTGATGAGAAGCCTCTTTCATGGTTCATCAGACTGATTCATGATACTTGCATTCATTTGAATAAATCTATGTTGCTCCTCTGCTTATTCCACTCTAATTCTACAATGAGCTCTATTGATGAGAAGCCTCTTTCATGGTTCATCAGACTGATTCATGATACTTGCATTCATTTGAATAAATCTATGTTGCTCCTCTGCTTATTCCATTTAATTCTACAATGAGCTCTATTGATGAGAAGCCTTTTCATGGTTCATCAGACTGATTCATGATACTTGCATTCATTTGAATAAATCTATGTTGCTGCTCTGCTTATTCCACTTAAATTCTACAATGAGCTCTATTGATGAGAAGCTTTTCATGGTTCATCAGACTGATTCATGATACTTGCATTCATTTGAATAAATCTATGTTGCTCCTCTGCTTATTCCACTTCTAATTCTACAATGAGCTCTATTGATGAGAAGCCTCTTTCATGGTTCATCAGACTGATTCATGATACTTGCATTCATTTGAATAAATCTATGTTGCTCCTCTGCTTATTCCACTCTAATTCTACAATGAGCTCTATTGATGAGAAGCCTCTTTCATGGTTCATCAGACTGATTCATGATACTTGCATTCATTTGAATAAATCTATGTTGCTCCTCTGCTTATTCCACTTCTAATTCTACAATGAGCTCTATTGATGAGAAGCCTCTTTCATGGTTCATCAGACTGATTCATGATACTTGCATTCATTTGAATAAATCTATGTTGCTCCTCTGCTTATTCCAATCTAATTCTACAATGAGCTCTATTGATGAGAAGCCTCTTTCATGGTTCATCAGACTGATTCATGATACTTGCATTCATTTGAATAAATCTATGTTGCTCCTCTGCTTATTCCACTCTAATTCTACAATGAGCTCTATTGATGAGAAGCCTCTTTCATGGTTCATCAGACTGATTCATGATACTTGCATTCATTTGAATAAATCTATGTTGCTCCTCTGCTTATTCCACTCTAATTCTACAATGAGCTCTATTGATGAGAAGCCTCTTTCATGGTTCATCAGACTGATTCATGATACTTGCATTCATTTGAATAAATCTATGTTGCTCCTCTGCTTATTCCACTCTAATTCTACAATGAGCTCTATTGATGAGAAGCCTCTTTCATGGTTCATCAGACTGATTCATGATACTTGCATTCATTTGAATAAATCTATGTTGCTCCTCTGCTTATTCCAATTTTAATTCTACAATGAGCTCTATTGATGAGAAGCCTTTCTTTCATGGTTCATCAGACTGATTCATGATACTTGCATTCATTTGAATAAATCTATGTTGCTCCTCTGCTTATTCCACTCTTAATTCTACAATGAGCTCTATTGATGAGAAGCCTCTTTCATGGTTCATCAGACTGATTCATGATACTTGCATTCATTTGAATAAATCTATGTTGCTCCTCTGCTTATTCCACTTTTAATTCTACAATGAGCTCTATTGATGAGAAGCCTCTTTCATGGTTCATCAGACTGATTCATGATACTTGCATTCATTTGAATAAATCTATGTTGCTCCTCTGCTTATTCCACTTAATTCTACAATGAGCTCTATTGATGAGAAGCCTCTTTCATGGTTCATCAGACTGATTCATGATACTTGCATTCATTTGAATAAATCTATGTTGCTCCTCTGCTTATTCCACTCTTAATTCTACAATGAGCTCTATTGATGAGAAGCCTCTTTCATGGTTCATCAGACTGATTCATGATACTTGCATTCATTTGAATAAATCTATGTTGCTCCTCTGCTTATTCCACTTAATTCTACAATGAGCTCTATTGATGAGAAGCCTCTTTCATGGTTCATCAGACTGATTCATGATACTTGCATTCATTTGAATAAATCTATGTTGCTCCTCTGCTTATTATTCAATGAGCTCTATTGATGAGAAGTTCTTTCATGGTTCATCAGACTGATTCATGATACTTGCATTCATTTGAATAAAATGTTGCCTCTTTATTCCACTCAATTCTTCAATGAGACTGATGAGAAGCTCATGGTTCATCAGACTTTCATTCATTTTCATTTGAATAAATCTATGTTGCTCCTCTGCTTATTCCAATCTAATTCTACAATGAGCTCTATTGATGAGAAGAATAAATCCTTATTCCAATTTTAATTTCATGGTTCATCAGACTGATTCATGATACTTGCATTCATTTGAATAAATCTATGTTGCTCCTCTGCTTATTCCACTCTAATTCTACAATGAGCTCTATTGATGAGAAGCCTCTTTCATGGTTCATCAGACTGATTCATGATACTTGCATTCATTTGAATAAATCTATGTTGCTCCTCTGCTTATTCCAATTTAATTCTACAATGAGCTCTATTGATGAGAAGCTTATTCATGGTTCATCAGACTGATTCATGATACATTTGAATAAATCTATGTTGATGAGAAGCCCAATTCTTTCTACAATGAGCTTATTGATGAGAAGCTGATGGTTCATGATGATTCATGATACTTGCATTCATTTGAATAAATCATTCATTTTCCACTTAAATAAATGAGCTATTGATGAGAAGCTCTCTTTCATGCTTATTCCATGATACTAATTCTTTGAAAATGAGCTTCCACTATTGATGATGAGAAGCCTCTTTCATGGTTCATCAGACTGATTCATGATACTTGCATTCATTTGAATAAATCTATGTTGCTCCTCTGCTTATTCCACTCTAATTCTACAATGAGCTCTATTGATGAGAAGCCTCTTTCATGGTTCATCAGACTGATTCATGATACTTGCATTCATTTGAATAAATCTATGTTGCTCCTCTGCTTATTCCACTCTAATTCTACAATGAGCTCTATTGATGAGAAGCCTCTTTCATGGTTCATCAGACTGATTCATGATACTTGCATTCATTTGAATAAATCTATGTTGCTCCTCTGCTTATTCCACTCTAATTCTACAATGAGCTCTATTGATGAGAAGCCTCTTTCATGGTTCATCAGACTGATTCATGATACTTGCATTCATTTGAATAAATCTATGTTGCTCCTCTGCTTATTCCACTCTAATTCTACAATGAGCTCTATTGATGAGAAGCCTCTTTCATGGTTCATCAGACTGATTCATGATACTTGCATTCATTTGAATAAATCTATGTTGCTCCTCTGCTTATTCCACTCTAATTCTACAATGAGCTCTATTGATGAGAAGCCTCTTTCATGGTTCATCAGACTGATTCATGATACTTGCATTCATTTGAATAAATCTATGTTGCTCCTCTGCTTATTCCACTCTAATTCTACAATGAGCTCTATTGATGAGAAGCCTCTTTCATGGTTCATCAGACTGATTCATGATACTTGCATTCATTTGAATAAATCTATGTTGCTCCTCTGCTTATTCCACTTTAATTCTACAATGAGCTCTATTGATGAGAAGCCTCTTTCATGGTTCATCAGACTGATTCATGATACTTGCATTCATTTGAATAAATCTATGTTGCTCCTCTGCTTATTCCACTCTAATTCTACAATGAGCTCTATTGATGAGAAGCCTCTTTCATGGTTCATCAGACTGATTCATGATACTTGCATTCATTTGAATAAATCTATGTTGCTCCTCTGCTTATTCCACTCTAATTCTACAATGAGCTCTATTGATGAGAAGCCTTTGAATTTCATGGTTCATCAGACTGATTCATGATACTTGCATTCATTTGAATAAATCTATGTTGCTCCTCTGCTTATTCCACTCTAATTCTACAATGAGCTCTATTGATGAGAAGCCTCTTTCATGGTTCATCAGACTGATTCATGATACTTGCATTCATTTGAATAAATCTATGTTGCTCCTCTGCTTATTCCAATTTAATTCTACAATGAGCTCTATTGATGAGAAGCCTCTTTCATGGTTCATCAGACTGATTCATGATACTTGCATTCATTTGAATAAATCTATGTTGCTCCTCTGCTTATTCCACTCTAATTCTACAATGAGCTCTATTGATGAGAAGCCTCTTTCATGGTTCATCAGACTGATTCATGATACTTGCATTCATTTGAATAAATCTATGTTGCTCCTCTGCTTATTCCACTCTAATTCTACAATGAGCTCTATTGATGAGAAGCCTCTTTCATGGTTCATCAGACTGATTCATGATACTTGCATTCATTTGAATAAATCTATGTTGCTCCTCTGCTTATTCCACTCTAATTCTACAATGAGCTCTATTGATGAGAAGCCTCTTTCATGGTTCATCAGACTGATTCATGATACTTGCATTCATTTGAATAAATCTATGTTGCTCCTCTGCTTATTCCACTCTAATTCTACAATGAGCTCTATTGATGAGAAGCCTCTTTCATGGTTCATCAGACTGATTCATGATACTTGCATTCATTTGAATAAATCTATGTTGCTCCTCTGCTTATTCCACTCTAATTCTACAATGAGCTCTATTGATGAGAAGCCTCTTTCATGGTTCATCAGACTGATTCATGATACTTGCATTCATTTGAATAAATCTATGTTGCTCCTCTGCTTATTCCACTCTAATTCTACAATGAGCTCTATTGATGAGAAGCCTCTTTCATGGTTCATCAGACTGATTCATGATACTTGCATTCATTTGAATAAATCTATGTTGCTCCTCTGCTTATTCCACTCTAATTCTACAATGAGCTCTATTGATGAGAAGCCTCTTTCATGGTTCATCAGACTGATTCATGATACTTGCATTCATTTGAATAAATCTATGTTGCTCCTCTGCTTATTCCACTCTAATTCTACAATGAGCTCTATTGATGAGAAGCCTCTTTCATGGTTCATCAGACTGATTCATGATACTTGCATTCATTTGAATAAATCTATGTTGCTCCTCTGCTTATTCCACTCTAATTCTACAATGAGCTCTATTGATGAGAAGCCTCTTTCATGGTTCATCAGACTGATTCATGATACTTGCATTCATTTGAATAAATCTATGTTGCTCCTCTGCTTATTCCACTCTAATTCTACAATGAGCTCTATTGATGAGAAGCCTCTTTCATGGTTCATCAGACTGATTCATGATACTTGCATTCATTTGAATAAATCTATGTTGCTCCTCTGCTTATTCCACTCTAATTCTACAATGAGCTCTATTGATGAGAAGCCTCTTTCATGGTTCATGGATTCATCAGACTGATTCATGAATAAATCTTGCATTCATTTGAATAAATGAGCTATGATGAGAAGCTTCATGGTTCATCAGACTCTGATACTTATTCCAATAAATCTAATTGCTCCTATTCAATGAGCAATGAGCTCTATTGATGAGAAGCCTCTTTCATTTTTCATTAAGCTGATTCATGATACATGCATTCATTTAAATAAATCTATGTTGCTCCTCTGCTTATTCCACTCTAATTCTACAATGAGCTCTATTGATGAGAAGCCTCTTTCATGGTTCATCAGACTGATTCATGATACTTGCATTCATTTGAATAAATCTATGTTGCTCCTCTGCTTATTCCACTCTAATTCTACAATGAGCTCTATTGATGAGAAGCCTCTTTTCATGGTTCATCAGACTGATTCATGATACTTGCATTCATTTGAATAAATCTATGTTGCTCCTCTGCTTATTCCACTCTAATTCTACAATGAGCTCTATTGATGAGAAGCCTCTTTCATGGTTCATCAGACTGATTCATGATACTTGCATTCATTTGAATAAATCTATGTTGCTCCTCTGCTTATTCCACTTTAATTCTACAATGAGCTCTATTGATGAGAAGCCTCTTTCATGGTTCATCAGACTGATTCATGATACTTGCATTCATTTGAATAAATCTATGTTGCTCCTCTGCTTATTCCACTCTAATTCTACAATGAGCTCTATTGATGAGAAGCCTTTCATGGTTCATCAGACTGATTCATGATACTTGCATTCATTTGAATAAATCTATGTTGCTCCTCTGCTTATTCCACTCTAATTCTACAATGAGCTCTATTGATGAGAAGCCTCTTTCATGGTTCATCAGACTGATTCATGATACTTGCATTCATTTGAATAAATCTATGTTGCTCCTCTGCTTATTCCAATTTCTAATTCTACAATGAGCTCTATTGATGAGAAGCCTCTTTCATGGTTCATCAGACTGATTCATGATACTTGCATTCATTTGAATAAATCTATGTTGCTCCTCTGCTTATTCCACTCTAATTCTACAATGAGCTCTATTGATGAGAAGCCTCTTTCATGGTTCATCAGACTGATTCATGATACTTGCATTCATTTGAATAAATCTATGTTGCTCCTCTGCTTATTCCACTCTAATTCTACAATGAGCTCTATTGATGAGAAGCCTCTTTCATGGTTCATCAGACTGATTCATGATACTTGCATTCATTTGAATAAATCTATGTTGCTCTTCTGCTTATTCCACTCTAATTCTACAATGAGCTCTATTGATGAGAAGCCTCTTTCATGGTTCATCAGACTGATTCATGATACTTGCATTCATTTGAATAAATCTATGTTGCTCCTCTGCTTATTCCACTCTAATTCTACAATGAGCTCTATTGATGAGAAGCCTCTTTCATGGTTCATCAGACTGATTCATGATACTTGCATTCATTTGAATAAATCTATGTTGCTCCTCTGCTTATTCCACTCTAATTCTACAATGAGCTCTATTGATGAGAAGCCTCTTTCATGGTTCATCAGACTGATTCATGATACTTGCATTCATTTGAATAAATCTATGTTGCTCCTCTGCTTATTCCACTCTAATTCTACAATGAGCTCTATTGATGAGAAGCCTTTTTTCATGGTTCATCAGACTGATTCATGATACTTGCATTCATTTGAATAAATCTATGTTGCTCCTCTGCTTATTCCACTCTAATTCTACAATGAGCTCTATTGATGAGAAGCTCATGGTTCATCAGACTGATTCATGATACTTGCATTCATTTGAATAAATCTATGTTGCTCCTCTGCTTATTCCACTTTAATTCTATGAGTTCATTGATGAGAAGCTGGTTCATCAGACTGATTCATGATACTTGCATTCATTTGAATAAATCTATGTTGCTCCTCTGCTTATTCCACTCTTTAATTCTACAATGAGCTCTATTGATGAGAAGCCTCTTTCATGGTTCATCAGACTGATTCATGATACTTGCATTCATTTGAATAAATCTATGTTGCTCCTCTGCTTATTCCACTCTAATTCTACAATGAGCTCTATTGATGAGAAGCCTCTTCATGGTTCATCAGACTGATTCATGATACTTGCATTCATTTGAATAAATCTATGTTGCTTCATTCCACTGAGCTCTATTGATGAGAATCTTCCTTTCATGGTTCATCAGACTGATTCATGATACTTGCATTCATTTGAATAAATCTATGTTGCTCCTCTGCTTATTCCAATGAGCTACAATGAGCTGATGAGAAGCCTCTTTCATGGTTCATCAGACTGATTCATGATACTTGCATTCATTTGAATAAATCTATGTTGCTCCTCTGCTTATTCCACTCTAATTCTACAATGAGCTCTATTGATGAGAAGCCTCTTTCATGGTTCATCAGACTGATTCATGATACTTGCATTCATTTGAATAAATCTATGTTGCTCCTCTGCTTATTCCACTCTAATTCTACAATGAGCTCTATTGATGAGAAGCCTTTTCATGGTTCATCAGACTGATTCATGATACTTGCATTCATTTGAATAAATCTATGTTGCTCCTCTGCTTATTCCACTCTAATTCTACAATGAGCTCTATTGATGAGAAGCCTCTTTCATGGTTCATCAGACTGATTCATGATACTTGCATTCATTTGAATAAATCTATGTTGCTCCTCTGCTTATTCCACTCTAATTCTACAATGAGCTCTATTGATGAGAAGCCTCTTTCATGGTTCATCAGACTGATTCATGATACTTGCATTCATTTGAATAAATCTATGTTGCTCCTCTGCTTATTCCACTCTAATTCTACAATGAGCTCTATTGATGAGAAGCCTTTTCATGGTTCATCAGACTGATTCATGATACTTGCATTCATTTGAATAAATCTATGTTGCTCCTCTGCTTATTCCACTTTAATTCTACAATGAGCTCTATTGATGAGAAGCCTCTTTCATGGTTCATCAGACTGATTCATGATACTTGCATTCATTTGAATAAATCTATGTTGCTCCTCTGCTTTATTCCACTTTTAATTCTACAATGAGCTCTATTGATGAGAAGCCTTTTCATGGTTCATCAGACTGATTCATGATACTTGCATTCATTTGAATAAATCTATGTTGCTCCTCTGCTTATTCCACTCTAATTCTACAATGAGCTCTATTGATGAGAAGCCTCTTTCATGGTTCATCAGACTGATTCATGATACTTGCATTCATTTGAATAAATCTATGTTGCTCCTCTGCTTATTCCACTCTAATTCTACAATGAGCTCTATTGATGAGAAGCCTCTTTCATGGTTCATCAGACTGATTCATGATACTTGCATTCATTTGAATAAATCTATGTTGCTCCTCTGCTTATTCCACTCTAATTCTACAATGAGCTCTATTGATGAGAAGCCTCTTTCATGGTTCATCAGACTGATTCATGATACTTGCATTCATTTGAATAAATCTATGTTGCTCCTCTGCTTATTCCACTCTAATTCTACAATGAGCTCTATTGATGAGAAGCCTCTTTCATGGTTCATCAGACTGATTCATGATACTTGCATTCATTTGAATAAATCTATGTTGCTCCTCTGCTTATTCCACTCTAATTCTACAATGAGCTCTATTGATGAGAAGCCTCTTTCATGGTTCATCAGACTGATTCATGATACTTGCATTCATTTGAATAAATCTATGTTGCTCCTCTGCTTATTCCACTTTAATTCTACAATGAGCTCTATTGATGAGAAGCCTCTTTCATGGTTCATCAGACTGATTCATGATACTTGCATTCATTTGAATAAATCTATGTTGCTCCTCTGCTTATTCCACTCTAATTCTACAATGAGCTCTATTGATGAGAAGCCTCTTTCATGGTTCATCAGACTGATTCATGATACTTGCATTCATTTGAATAAATCTATGTTGCTCCTCTGCTTATTCCACTCTAATTCTACAATGAGCTCTATTGATGAGAAGCCTCTTTCATGGTTCATCAGACTGATTCATGATACTTGCATTCATTTGAATAAATCTATGTTGCTCCTCTGCTTATTCCACTCTAATTCTACAATGAGCTCTATTGATGAGAAGCCTTTTTCTTGGTTCATCAGACTGATTCATGATACTTGCATTCATTTGAATAAATCTATGTTGCTCCTCTGCTTATTCCACTCTAATTCTACAATGAGCTCTATTGATGAGAAGCCTCTTTCATGGTTCATCAGACTGATTCATGATACTTGCATTCATTTGAATAAATCTATGTTGCTCCTCTGCTTATTCCACTCTAATTCTACAATGAGCTCTATTGATGAGAAGCCTCTTTCATGGTTCATCAGACTGATTCATGATACTTGCATTCATTTGAATAAATCTATGTTGCTCCTCTGCTTATTCCACTCTAATTTCAATAATTCTATGAGCTCTATTGATGAGAAGCCTCTTTCATGGTTCATCAGACTGATTCATGATACTTGCATTCATTTGAATAAATCTATGTTGCTCCTCTGCTTATTCCACTCTAATTCTACAATGAGCTCTATTGATGAGAAGCCTCTTTCATGGTTCATCAGACTGATTCATGATACTTGCATTCATTTGAATAAATCTATGTTGCTCCTCTGCTTATTCCACTCTAATTCTACAATGAGCTCTATTGATGAGAAGCCTCTTTCATGGTTCATCAGACTGATTCATGATACTTGCATTCATTTGAATAAATCTATGTTGCTCCTCTGCTTATTCCACTCTAATTCTACAATGAGCTCTATTGATGAGAAGCCTCTTTCATGGTTCATCAGACTGATTCATGATACTTGCATTCATTTGAATAAATCTATGTTGCTCCTCTGCTTATTCCACTCTAATTCTACAATGAGCTCTATTGATGAGAAGCCTCTTTCATGGTTCATCAGACTGATTCATGATACTTGCATTCATTTGAATAAATCTATGTTGCTCCTCTGCTTATTCCACTCTAATTCTACAATGAGCTCTATTGATGAGAAGCCTCTTTCATGGTTCATCAGACTGATTCATGATACTTGCATTCATTTGAATAAATCTATGTTGCTCTCTGCTTATTCCACTCTAATTCTACAATGAGCTCTATTGATGAGAAGCCTTTTCATGGTTCATCAGACTGATTCATGATACTTGCATTCATTTGAATAAATCTATGTTGCTCCTCTGCTTATTCCACTCTAATTCTACAATGAGCTCTATTGATGAGAAGCCTCTTTCATGGTTCATCAGACTGATTCATGATACTTGCATTCATTTGAATAAATCTATGTTGCTCCTCTGCTTATTCCACTCTAATTCTACAATGAGCTCTATTGATGAGAAGCCTCTTTCATGGTTCATCAGACTGATTCATGATACTTGCATTCATTTGAATAAATCTATGTTGCTCCTCTGCTTATTCCACTCTAATTCTACAATGAGCCCTATTGATGAGAAGCCTTTTCATGGTTCATCAGACTGATTCATGATACTTGCATTCATTTGAATAAATCTATGTTGCTCCTCTGCTTATTCCACTTCTAATTCTCTAAATGAGCCTCTATTGATGAGAAGCATTCTTTCATGGTTCATCAGACTGATTCATGATACTTGCATTCATTTGAATAAATCTATGTTGCTCCTCTGCTTATTCCACTTCTAATTCTACAATGAGCTCTATTGATGAGAAGCCTCTTTCATGGTTCATCAGACTGATTCATGATACTTGCATTCATTTGAATAAATCTATGTTGCTCCTCTGCTTATTCCACTCTAATTCTACAATGAGCTCTATTGATGAGAAGCCTCTTTCATGGTTCATCAGACTGATTCATGATACTTGCATTCATTTGAATAAATCTATGTTGCTCCTCTGCTTATTCCACTTAATTCTACAATGAGCTCTATTGATGAGAAGCCTCTTTCATGGTTCATCAGACTGATTCATGATACTTGCATTCATTTGAATAAATCTATGTTGCTCCTCTGCTTATTCCACTTAATTCTACAATGAGCTCTATTGATGAGAAGCCTCTTCATGGTTCATCAGACTGATTCATGATACTTGCATTCATTTGAATAAATCTATGTTGCTCCTCTGCTTATTCCACTCTAATTCTACAATGAGCTCTATTGATGAGAAGCCTCTTTCATGGTTCATCAGACTGATTCATGATACTTGCATTCATTTGAATAAATCTATGTTGCTCCTCTGCTTATTCCACTCTAATTCTACAATGAGCTCTATTGATGAGAAGCCTCTTTCATGGTTCATCAGACTGATTCATGATACTTGCATTCATTTGAATAAATCTATGTTGCTCCTCTGCTTATTCCACTCTAATTCTACAATGAGCTCTATTGATGAGAAGCCTCTTTCATGGTTCATCAGACTGATTCATGATACTTGCATTCATTTGAATAAATCTATGTTGCTCCTCTGCTTATTCCACTCTAATTCTACAATGAGCTCTATTGATGAGAAGCCTCTTTCATGGTTCATCAGACTGATTCATGATACTTGCATTCATTTGAATAAATCTATGTTGCTCCTCTGCTTATTCCACTCTAATTCTACAATGAGCTCTATTGATGAGAAGCCTCTTCATGGTTCATCAGACTGATTCATGATACTTGCATTCATTTGAATAAATCTATGTTGCTCCTCTGCTTATTCCACTCTAATTCTACAATGAGCTCTATTGATGAGAAGCCTCTTCATGGTTCATCAGACTGATTCATGATACTTGCATTCATTTGAATAAATCTATGTTGCTCCTCTGCTTATTCCACTCTAATTCTACAATGAGCTCTATTGATGAGAAGCCTTTCATGGTTCATGGACTGATTCATGATACTTGCATTCATTTGAATAAATCTATGTTGCTCATTGCTTATTCCAATAAATTCTACAATGAGCTCTATTGATGAGAAGCCTCTTTCATGGTTCATCAGACTGATTCATGATACTTGCATTCATTTGAATAAATCCCTCTGCTTATTCCACTTAATTCTACAATGAGCTCTATTGATGAGAAGCCTCTTTCATGGTTCATCAGACTGATTCATGATACTTGCATTCATTTGAATAAATCTATGTTGCTCCTCTGCTTATTCCACTTAATTCTACAATGAGCTCTATTGATGAGAAGCCTCTTTCATGGTTCATCAGACTGATTCATGATACTTGCATTCATTTGAATAAATCTATGTTGCTCCTCTGCTTATTCCACTCTAATTTCTACAATGAGCTCTATTGATGAGAAGCCTCTTTCATGGTTCATCAGACTGATTCATGATACTTGCATTCATTTGAATAAATCTATGTTGCTCCTCTGCTTATTCCACTCTAATTCTACAATGAGCTCTATTGATGAGAAGCCTCTTTCATGGTTCATCAGACTGATTCATGATACTTGCATTCATTTGAATAAATCTATGTTGCTCCTCTGCTTATTCCACTCTAATTCTACAATGAGCTCTATTGATGAGAAGCCTCTTTCATGGTTCATCAGACTGATTCATGATACTTGCATTCATTTGAATAAATCTATGTTGCTCCTCTGCTTATTCCACTCTAATTCTACAATGAGCTCTATTGATGAGAAGCCTCTTTCATGGTTCATCAGACTGATTCATGATACTTGCATTCATTTGAATAAATCTATGTTGCTCCTCTGCTTATTCCACTCTAATTCTACAATGAGCTCTATTGATGAGAAGCCTCTTTCATGGTTCATCAGACTGATTCATGATACTTGCATTCATTTGAATAAATCTATGTTGCTCCTCTGCTTATTCCACTCTAATTCTACAATGAGCTCTATTGATGAGAAGCCTCTTTCATGGTTCATCAGACTGATTCATGATACTTGCATTCATTTGAATAAATCTATGTTGCTCCTCTGCTTATTCCAATTTAATTCTACAATGAGCTCTATTGATGAGAAGCCTCTTTCATGGTTCATCAGACTGATTCATGATACTTGCATTCATTTGAATAAATCTATGTTGCTCCTCTGCTTATTCCACTCTAATTCTACAATGAGCTCTATTGATGAGAAGCCTCTTTCATGGTTCATCAGACTGATTCATGATACTTGCATTCATTTGAATAAATCTATGTTGCTCCTCTGCTTATTCCACTCTAATTCTACAATGAGCTCTATTGATGAGAAGCCTCTTTCATGGTTCATCAGACTGATTCATGATACTTGCATTCATTTGAATAAATCTATGTTGCTCCTCTGCTTATTCCACTCTAATTCTACAATGAGCTCTATTGATGAGAAGCCTCTTTCATGGTTCATCAGACTGATTCATGATACTTGCATTCATTTGAATAAATCTATGTTGCTCCTCTGCTTATTCCACTCTAATTCTACAATGAGCTCTATTGATGAGAAGACTGATTTGATACATGGTTCATCAGACTGATTCATCAGACTGATACTTGCATTCATTTGAATAAATCTATGTTGCTCCTCTGCTTATTCCACTCTAATTCTACAATGAGCTCTATTGATGAGAAGCCTCTTCATGGTTCATCAGACTGATTCATGATACTTGCATTCATTTGAATAAATCTATGTTGCTCCTCTGCTTATTCCACTCTAATTCTACAATGAGCTCTATTGATGAGAAGCCTCTTTCATGGTTCATCAGACTGATTCATGATACTTGCATTCATTTGAATAAATCTATGTTGCTCCTCTGCTTATTCCACTTTCTAATTCTACAATGAGCTCTATTGATGAGAAGCCTCTTTCATGGTTCATCAGACTGATTCATGATACTTGCATTCATTTGAATAAATCTATGTTGCTCCTCTGCTTATTCCACTCTAATTCTACAATGAGCTCTATTGATGAGAAGCCTCTTTCATGGTTCATCAGACTGATTCATGATACTTGCATTCATTTGAATAAATCTATGTTGCTCCTCTGCTTATTCCACTCTAATTCTACAATGAGCTCTATTGATGAGAAGCCTCTTTCATGGTTCATCAGACTGATTCATGATACTTGCATTCATTTGAATAAATCTATGTTGCCCCTCTGCTTATTCCACTCTAATTCTACAATGAGCTCTATTGATGAGAAGCCTCTTTCATGGTTCATCAGACTGATTCATGATACTTGCATTCATTTGAATAAATCTATGTTGCTCCTCTGCTTATTCCACTCTAATTCTACAATGAGCTCTATTGATGAGAAGCCTCTTTCATGGTTCATCAGACTGATTCATGATACTTGCATTCATTTGAATAAATCTATGTTGCTCTCTGCTTATTCCACTTTAATTCTACAATGAGCTCTATTGATGAGAAGCCTTTTCATGGTTCATCAGACTGATTCATGATACTTGCATTCATTTGAATAAATCTATGTTGCTCCTCTGCTTATTCCACTTTAATTCTACAATGAGCTCTATTGATGAGAAGCCTCTTTCATGGTTCATCAGACTGATTCATGATACTTGCATTCATTTGAATAAATCTATGTTGCTCTCTGCTTATTCCACTCTAATTCTACAATGAGCTCTATTGATGAGAAGCCTCTTTCATGGTTCATCAGACTGATTCATGATACTTGCATTCATTTGAATAAATCTATGTTGCTCCTCTGCTTATTCCACTCTAATTCTACAATGAGCTCTATTGATGAGAAGCCTCTTTCATGGTTCATCAGACTGATTCATGATACTTGCATTCATTTGAATAAATCTATGTTGCTCCTCTGCTTATTCCACTCTAATTCTACAATGAGCTCTATTGATGAGAAGCCTCTTTCATGGTTCATCAGACTGATTCATGATACTTGCATTCATTTGAATAAATCTATGTTGCTCCTCTGCTTATTCCACTCTAATTCTACAATGAGCTCTATTGATGAGAAGCCTCTTTCATGGTTCATCAGACTGATTCATGATACTTGCATTCATTTGAATAAATCTATGTTGCTCCTCTGCTTATTCCACTCTAATTCTACAATGAGCTCTATTGATGAGAAGCCTCTTTCATGGTTCATCAGACTGATTCATGATACTTGCATTCATTTGAATAAATCTATGTTGCTCCTCTGCTTATTCCACTCTAATTCTACAATGAGCTCTATTGATGAGAAGCCTCTTTCATGGTTCATCAGACTGATTCATGATACTTGCATTCATTTGAATAAATCTATGTTGCTCCTCTGCTTATTCCACTCTTAATTCTACAATGAGCTCTATTGATGAGAAGCCTCTTTCATGGTTCATCAGACTGATTCATGATACTTGCATTCATTTGAATAAATCTATGTTGCTCCTCTGCTTATTCCACTCTAATTCTACAATGAGCTCTATTGATGAGAAGCCTCTTTCATGGTTCATCAGACTGATTCATGATACTTGCATTCATTTGAATAAATCTATGTTGCTCCTCTGCTTATTCCACTCTAATTCTACAATGAGCTCTATTGATGAGAAGCCTCTTTCATGGTTCATCAGACTGATTCATGATACTTGCATTCATTTGAATAAATCTATGTTGCTCCTCTGCTTATTCCACTCTAATTCTACAATGAGCTCTATTGATGAGAAGCCTCTTTCATGGTGGTTCATCAGACTGATTCATGATACTTGCATTCATTTGAATAAATCTATGTTGCTCCTCTGCTTATTCCACTCTAATTCTACAATGAGCTCTATTGATGAGAAGCCTCTTTCATGGTTCATCAGACTGATTCATGATACTTGCATTCATTTGAATAAATCTATGTTGCTCCTCTGCTTATTCCACTCTAATTCTACAATGAGCTCTATTGATGAGAAGCCTCTTTCATGGTTCATCAGACTGATTCATGATACTTGCATTCATTTGAATAAATCTATGTTGCTCCTCTGCTTATTCCACTCTAATTCTACAATGAGCTCTATTGATGAGAAGCCTCTTTCATGGTTCATCAGACTGATTCATGATACTTGCATTCATTTGAATAAATCTATGTTGCTCCTCTGCTTATTCCACTCTAATTCTACAATGAGCTCTATTGATGAGAAGCCTCTTTCATGGTTCATCAGACTGATTCATGATACTTGCATTCATTTGAATAAATCTATGTTGCTCCTCTGCTTATTCCACTCTAATTCTACAATGAGCTCTATTGATGAGAAGCCTTTCATGGTTCATCAGACTGATTCATGATACTTGCATTCATTTGAATAAATCTATGTTGCTCCTCTGCTTATTCCACTCTAATTCTACAATGAGCTCTATTGATGAGAAGCCTCTTTCATGGTTCATCAGACTGATTCATGATACTTGCATTCATTTGAATAAATCTATGTTGCTCCTCTGCTTATTCCACTCTAATTCTACAATGAGCTCTATTGATGAGAAGCCTCTTTCATGGTTCATCAGACTGATTCATGATACTTGCATTCATTTGAATAAATCTATGTTGCTCCTCTGCTTATTCCACTCTAATTCTACAATGAGCTCTATTGATGAGAAGCCTCTTTCATGGTTCATCAGACTGATTCATGATACTTGCATTCATTTGAATAAATCTATGTTGCTCCTCTGCTTATTCCACTCTAATTCTACAATGAGCTCTATTGATGAGAAGCCTCTTTCATGGTTCATCAGACTGATTCATGATACTTGCATTCATTTGAATAAATCTATGTTGCTCCTCTGCTTATTCCACTCTAATTCTACAATGAGCTCTATTGATGAGAAGCCTCTTTCATGGTTCATCAGACTGATTCATGATACTTGCATTCATTTGAATAAATCTATGTTGCTCCTCTGCTTATTCCACTCTAATTCTACAATGAACCCTATTGATGAGAAGCCTCTTTCATGGTTCATCAGACTGATTCATGATACTTGCATTCATTTGAATAAATCTATGTTGCTCCTCTGCTTATTCCACTTTAATTCTACAATGAGCTCTATTGATGAGAAGCCTTTTCATGGTTCATCAGACTGATTCATGATACTTGCATTCATTTGAATAAATCTATGTTGCTCCTCTGCTTATTCCACTCTAATTCTACAATGAGCTCTATTGATGAGAAGCCTCTTTCATGGTTCATCAGACTGATTCATGATACTTGCATTCATTTGAATAAATCTATGTTGCTCCTCTGCTTATTCCACTTTAATTCTACAATGAGCTCTATTGATGAGAAGCCTCTTTCATGGTTCATCAGACTGATTCATGATACTTGCATTCATTTGAATAAATCTATGTTGCTCCTCTGCTTATTCCACTTTTAATTCTACAATGAGCTCTATTGATGAGAAGCCTCTTTCATGGTTCATCAGACTGATTCATGATACTTGCATTCATTTGAATAAATCTATGTTGCTCCTCTGCTTATTCCACTCTAATTCTACAATGAGCTCTATTGATGAGAAGCCTCTTTCATGGTTCATCAGACTGATTCATGATACTTGCATTCATTTGAATAAATCTATGTTGCTCCTCTGCTTATTCCACTCTAATTCTACAATGAGCTCTATTGATGAGAAGCCTCTTTCATGGTTCATCAGACTGATTCATGATACTTGCATTCATTTGAATAAATCTATGTTGCTCCTCTGCTTATTCCACTCTAATTCTACAATGAGCTCTATTGATGAGAAGCCTCTTTCATGGTTCATCAGACTGATTCATGATACTTGCATTCATTTGAATAAATCTATGTTGCTCCTCTGCTTATTCCACTCTAATTCTACAATGAGCTCTATTGATGAGAAGCCTTTTCATGGTTCATCAGACTGATTCATGATACTTGCATTCATTTGAATAAATCTATGTTGCTCCTCTGCTTATTCCACTCTAATTCTACAATGAGCTCTATTGATGAGAAGCCTCTTTCATGGTTCATCAGACTGATTCATGATACTTGCATTCATTTGAATAAATCTATGTTGCTCCTCTGCTTATTCCACTCTAATTCTACAATGAACTCTATTGATGAGAAGCCTCTTTCATGGTTCATCAGACTGATTCATGATACTTGCATTCATTTGAATAAATCTATGTTGCTCCTCTGCTTATTCCACTTTAATTCTACAATGAGCTCTATTGATGAGAAGCCTCTTTCATGGTTCATCAGACTGATTCATGATACTTGCATTCATTTGAATAAATCTATGTTGCTCCTCTGCTTATTCCACTCTAATTCTACAATGAGCTCTATTGATGAGAAGCCTCTTTCATGGTTCATCAGACTGATTCATGATACTTGCATTCATTTGAATAAATCTATGTTGCTCCTCTGCTTATTCCACTCTAATTCTACAATGAGCTCTATTGATGAGAAGCCTTTTCATGGTTCATCAGACTGATTCATGATACTTGCATTCATTTGAATAAATCTATGTTGCTCCTCTGCTTATTCCACTTTAATTCTACAATGAGCTCTATTGATGAGAAGCCTCTTTCATGGTTCATCAGACTGATTCATGATACTTGCATTCATTTGAATAAATCTATGTTGCTCCTCTGCTTATTCCACTCTAATTCTACAATGAGCTCTATTGATGAGAAGCCTCTTTCATGGTTCATCAGACTGATTCATGATACTTGCATTCATTTGAATAAATCTATGTTGCTCCTCTGCTTATTCCAATTTAATTCTACAATGAACTCTATTGATGAGAAGCCTCTTTCATGGTTCATCAGACTGATTCATGATACTTGCATTCATTTGAATAAATCTATGTTGCTCCTCTGCTTATTCCACTCTAATTCTACAATGAGCTCTATTGATGAGAAGCCTCTTTCATGGTTCATCAGACTGATTCATGATACTTGCATTCATTTGAATAAATCTATGTTGCTCCTCTGCTTATTCCACTCTGAATATTGATGAGAAGCCTCTTTCATGGTTCATCAACTGATTCATGATACTTGCATTTTGATGAATCTATGTTGCTCCTCTGCTTATTCCACTCTTCATGGTTCATGGTTCATCAGACTGATTCATGATACTTGCATTCATTTGAATAAATCTATGTTGCTCCTCTGCTTATTCCACTCTAATTCTACAATGAGCTCTATTGATGAGAAGCCTCTTTTCATGGTTCATCAGACTGATTCATGATACTTGCATTCATTTGAATAAATCTATGTTGCTCCTCTGCTTATTCCAATTTCAATTCTACAATGAGCTCTATTGATGAGAAATGAGCCTATTGATTTCATGGTTCATCAGACTGATTCATGATACTTGCATTCATTTGAATAAATCTATGTTGCTCCTCTGCTTATTCCACTCTAATTCTACAATGAGCTCTATTGATGAGAAGCCTCTTTCATGGTTCATCAGACTGATTCATGATACTTGCATTCATTTGAATAAATCTATGTTGCTCCTCTGCTTATTCCACTCTAATTCTACAATGAGCTCTATTGATGAGAAGCCTCTTTCATGGTTCATCAGACTGATTCATGATACTTGCATTCATTTGAATAAATCTATGTTGCTCCTCTGCTTATTCCACTCTAATTCTACAATGAGCTCTATTGATGAGAAGCCTTTTCATGGTTCATCAGACTGATTCATGATACTTGCATTCATTTGAATAAATCTATGTTGCTCCTCTGCTTATTCCAATTTCTAATTCTACAATGAGCTCTATTGATGAGAAGCCTCTTTCATGGTTCATCAGACTGATTCATGATACTTGCATTCATTTGAATAAATCTATGTTGCTCCTCTGCTTATTCCACTCTAATTCTACAATGAGCTCTATTGATGAGAAGCCTCTTTCATGGTTCATCAGACTGATTCATGATACTTGCATTCATTTGAATAAATCTATGTTGCTCCTCTGCTTATTCCACTCTAATTCTACAATGAGCTCTATTGATGAGAAGCCTCTTTCATGGTTCATCAGACTGATTCATGATACTTGCATTCATTTGAATAAATCTATGTTGCTCCCTCTGCTTATTCCACTCTAATTCTACAATGAGCTCTATTGATGAGAAGCCTCTTTCATGGTTCATCAGACTGATTCATGATACTTGCATTCATTTGAATAAATCTATGTTGCTCCTCTGCTTATTCCACTCTAATTCTACAATGAGCTCTATTGATGAGAAGCCTCTTTTCATGGTTCATCAGACTGATTCATGATACTTGCATTCATTTGAATAAATCTATGTTGCTCCTCTGCTTATTCCAATCTAATTCTACAATGAGCTCTATTGATGAGAAGCCTTTTCATGGTTCATCAGACTGATTCATGATACTTGCATTCATTTGAATAAATCTATGTTGCTCCTCTGCTTATTCCACTTTAATTCTACAATGAGCTCTATTGATGAGAAGCCTCTTTCATGGTTCATCAGACTGATTCATGATACTTGCATTCATTTGAATAAATCTATGTTGCTCCTCTGCTTATTCCAATTTAATTCTACAATGAGCTCTATTGATGAGAAGCCCTTTCATGGTTCATCAGACTGATTCATGATACTTGCATTCATTTGAATAAATCTATGTTGCTCCTCTGCTTATTCCAATTTAATTCTACAATGAGCTCTATTGATGAGAAGCCTCTTTCATGGTTCATCAGACTGATTCATGATACTTGCATTCATTTGAATAAATCTATGTTGCTCCTCTGCTTATTCCACTCTAATTCTACAATGAGCTCTATTGATGAGAAGCCTCTTTCATGGTTCATCAGACTGATTCATGATACTTGCATTCATTTGAATAAATCTATGTTGCTCCTCTGCTTATTCCACTCTAATTCTACAATGAGCTCTATTGATGAGAAGCCCTTTCATGGTTCATCAGACTGATTCATGATACTTGCATTCATTTGAATAAATCTATGTTGCTCCTCTGCTTATTCCAATTTAATTCTGACAATGAGCTCTATTGATGAGAAGCCTCTTTTCATGGTTCATCAGACTGATTCATGATACTTGCATTCATTTGAATAAATCTATGTTGCTCCTCTGCTTATTCCACTCTAATTCTACAATGAGCTCTATTGATGAGAAGCCTCTTTCATGGTTCATCAGACTGATTCATGATACTTGCATTCATTTGAATAAATCTATGTTGAAGCATCTTTCATGGTTCTCCTCTGCTTATTCCATTCATTTAATTCTACAATGAGCTTATATTGATGAGAAGCCTTCCATGGTTCATCAGACTGATTCATGATACTTGCATTCATTTGAATAAATCTATGTTGCTCCTGCTTATTCCACTCTAATTTCTACAATGAGCTCTATTGATGAGAAGCCTCTTTCATGGTTCATCAGACTGATTCATGATACTTGCATTCATTTGAATAAATCTATGTTGCTCCTCTGCTTATTCCACTCTAATTCTACAATGAGCTCTATTGATGAGAAGCCCTTTCATGGTTCATCAGACTGATTCATGATACTTGCATTCATTTGAATAAATCTATGTTGCTCCTCTGCTTATTCCACTCTAATTCTACAATGAGCTCTATTGATGAGAAGCCTCTTTCATGGTTCATCAGACTGATTCATGATACTTGCATTCATTTGAATAAATCTATGTTGCTCCTCTCTGCTTATTCCACTCTAATTCTACAATGAGCTCTATTGATGAGAAGCCTCTTTCATGGTTCATCAGACTGATTCATGATACTTGCATTCATTTGAATAAATCTATGTTGCTCCTCTGCTTATTCCACTCTAATTCTACAATGAGCTCTATTGATGAGAAGCCTTTCATGGTTCATCAGACTGATTCATGATACTTGCATTCATTTGAATAAATCTATGTTGCCCTCTGCTTATTCCACTCTAATTCTACAATGAGCTCTATTGATGAGAAGCCTCTTTCATGGTTCATCAGACTGATTCATGATACTTGCATTCATTTGAATAAATCTATGTTGCTCTCTGCTTATTCCAATCTAATTCTACAATGAGCTCTATTGATGAGAAGCCTCTTTCATGGTTCATCAGACTGATTCATGATACTTGCATTCATTTGAATAAATCTATGTTGCTCCTCTGCTTATTCCACTCTAATTCTACAATGAGCTCTATTGATGAGAAGCCTCTTTCATGGTTCATCAGACTGATTCATGATACTTGCATTCATTTGAATAAATCTATGTTGCTCCTCTGCTTATTCCAATTTTATTCTACAATGAGCTCTATTGATGAGAAGCCTCTTTCATGGTTCATCAGACTGATTCATGATACTTGCATTCATTTGAATAAATCTATGTTGCCCTCTGCTTATTCCACTCTAATTCTACAATGAGCTCTATTGATGAGAAGCCTTTTCATGGTTCATCAGACTGATTCATGATACTTGCATTCATTTGAATAAATCTATGTTGCTCCTCTGCTTATTCCACTCTAATTCTACAATGAGCTCTATTGATGAGAAGCCTCTTTTCATGGTTCCTCTTTCATGGTTCATCAGACTGATTCATGATACTTGCATTCATTTGAATAAATCTATGTTGCTCCTCTGCTTATTCCACTCTAATTCTACAATGAGCTTTATTGATGAGAAGCCTCTTCTTGGTTCATCAGACTGATTCATGATACTTGCATTCATTTGAATAAATCTATGTTGCTCCTCTGCTTATTCCACTCTAATTCTACAATGAGCTCTATTGATGAGAAGCCTCTTTTCATGGTTCATCAGACTGATTCATGATACTTGCATTCATTTGAATAAATCTATGTTGCTCCTCTGCTTATTCCACTCTAATTCTACAATGAGCTCTATTGATGAGAAGCCTCTTTCATGGTTCATCAGACTGATTCATGATACTTGCATTCATTTGAATAAATCTATGTTGCCCTCTGCTTATTCCACTTAAATTCTACAATGAGCTCTATTGATGAGAAGCCTCTTTCATGGTTCATCAGACTGATTCATGATACTTGCATTCATTTGAATAAATCTATGTTGCTCCTCTGCTTATTCCACTCTAATTCTACAATGAGCTCTATTGATGAGAAGCCTCTTTCATGGTTCATCAGACTGATTCATGATACTTGCATTCATTTGAATAAATCTATGTTGCTCCTCTGCTTATTCCATTCTAATTCTACAATGAGCTCTATTGATGAGAAGCCTCTTTCATGGTTCATCAGACTGATTCATGATACTTGCATTCATTTGAATAAATCTATGTTGCTCCTCTGCTTATTCCACTCTAATTCTACAATGAGCTCTATTGATGAGAAGCCCTTTTCATGGTTCATCAGACTGATTCATGATACTTGCATTCATTTGAATAAATCTATATGTTGCTCTCTGCTTATTCCACTTAATTCTATCTCAATGAGCTCTATTGATGAGAAGCCTCTTTCATGGTTCATCAGACTGATTCATGATACTTGCATTCATTTGAATAAATCTATGTTGCCCTCTGCTTATTCCACTCTAATTCTACAATGAGCTCTATTGATGAGAAGCCTCTTCATGGTTCATCAGACTGATTCATGATACTTGCATTCATTTGAATAAATCTATGTTGCTCCTCTGCTTATTCCACTCTAATTCTACAATGAGCTCTATTGATGAGAAGCCTCTTTCATGGTTCATCAGACTGATTCATGATACTTGCATTCATTTGAATAAATCTATGTTGCTCCTCTGCTTATTCCACTCTAATTCTACAATGAGCTCTATTGATGAGAAGCCTCTTCATGGTTCATCAGACTGATTCATGATACTTGCATTCATTTGAATAAATCTATGTTGCTCCTCTGCTTATTCCACTTAATTCTACAATGAGCTCTATTGATGAGAAGCCTCTTCATGGTTCATCAGACTGATTCATGATACTTGCATTCATTTGAATAAATCTATGTTGCTCCTCTGCTTATTCCACTTTAATTCTACAATGAGCTCTATTGATGAGAAGCCTCTTTCATGGTTCATCAGACTGATTCATGATACTTGCATTCATTTGAATAAATCTATGTTGCTCCTCTGCTTATTCCACTCTAATTCTACAATGAGCTCTATTGATGAGAAGCCTCTTCATGGTTCATCAGACTGATTCATGATACTTGCATTCATTTGAATAAATCTATGTTGCTCCTCTGCTTATTCCACTCTAATTCTGCAATGAGCTCTATTGATGAGAAGTTCTTTTCATGGTTCATCAGACTGATTCATGATACTTGCATTCATTTGAATAAATCTATGTTGCTCTCTGCTTATTCCACTCTAATTCTACAATGAGCTTCATTGATGAGAAGCCTCTTCATGGTTCATCAGACTGATTCATGATACTTGCATTCATTTGAATAAATCTATGTTGCTCTCTGCTTATTCCACTTAATTCTGCAATGAGCTCTATTGATGAGAAGCGTCTTTCATGGTTCATCAGACTGATTCATGATACTTGCATTCATTTGAATAAATCTATGTTGCTCCTCTGCTTATTCCAATTTAATTCTACAATGAGCTCTATTGATGAGAAGCCTCTTTTTCATGGTTCATCAGACTGATTCATGATACTTGCATTCATTTGAATAAATCTATGTTGCTCCCTCTGCTTATTCCACTTTAATTCTACAATGAGCTCTATTGATGAGAAGCCTCTTTCATGGTTCATCAGACTGATTCATGATACTTGCATTCATTTGAATAAATCTATGTTGCTCCTCTGCTTATTCCATTCATAATTCTTTACAAATGAGCCTATTGATGAGAAGCCTTTCATGGTTCATCAGACTGATTCATGATACTTGCATTCATTTGAATAAATCTATGTTGCTCCTCTGCTTATTCCACTCTAATTCTACAATGAGCTCTATTGATGAGAAGCCTCTTTCATGGTTCATCAGACTGATTCATGATACTTGCATTCATTTGAATAAATCCATGTTGCTCCTCTGCTTATTCCACTCTAATTCTACAATGAGCTCTATTGATGAGAAGCCTTTTCATGGTTCATCAGACTGATTCATGATACTTGCATTCATTTGAATAAATCTATGTTGCTCCTCTGCTTATTCCACTCTAATTCTACAATGAGCTCTATTGATGAGAAGCCTCTTTCATGGTTCATCAGACTGATTCATGATACTTGCATTCATTTGAATAAATCTATGTTGCTCCTCTGCTTATTCCACTCTAATTCTACAATGAGCTCTATTGATGAGAAGCCTCTTTCATGGTTCATCAGACTGATTCATGATACTTGCATTCATTTGAATAAATCTATGTTGCTCCTCTGCTTATTCCACTCTAATTCTACAATGAGCTCTATTGATGAGAAGCCTCTTTCATGGTTCATCAGACTGATTCATGATACTTGCATTCATTTGAATAAATCTATGTTGCTCCTCTGCTTATTCCACTCTAATTCTACAATGAGCTCTATTGATGAGAAGCCTCTTTCATGGTTCATCAGACTGATTCATGATACTTGCATTCATTTGAATAAATCTATGTTGCTCCTCTGCTTATTCCACTCTAATTCTACAATGAGCTCTATTGATGAGAAGCCTTTTCATGGTTCATCAGACTGATTCATGATACTTGCATTCATTTGAATAAATCTATGTTGCTCCTCTGCTTATTCCACTCTAATTCTACAATGAGCTCTATTGATGAGAAGCCTTTTCATGGTTCATCAGACTGATTCATGATACTTGCATTCATTTGAATAAATCTATGTTGCTCCTCTGCTTATTCCACTTTAATTCTACAATGAGCTCTATTGATGAGAAGCCTCTTTCATGGTTCATCAGACTGATTCATGATACTTGCATTCATTTGAATAAATCTATGTTGCTCCTCTGCTTATTCCACTCTAATTCTACAATGAGCTCTATTGATGAGAAGCCTCTTTCATGGTTCATCAGACTGATTCATGATACTTGCATTCATTTGAATAAATCTATGTTGCTCCTCTGCTTATTCCACTTAATTCTACAATGAGCTCTATTGATGAGAAGCCCCTTCATGGTTCATCAGACTGATTCATGATACTTGCATTCATTTGAATAAATCTATGTTGCTCCTCTGCTTATTCCACTTTTCTATGGTTCATTGATGAGAAGCCTCTTTCATGGTTCATCAGACTGATTCATGATACTTGCATTCATTTGAATAAATCTATGTTGCTCCTCTGCTTATTCCACTCTAATTCTACAATGAGCTCTATTGATGAGAAGCTCTTCATGGTTCATCAGACTGATTCATGATACTTGCATTCATTTGAATAAATCTATGTTGCTCCTCTGCTTATTCCAATTTCTAATTCTACAATGAGCTCTATTGATGAGAAGCCTCTTTCATGGTTCATCAGACTGATTCATGATACTTGCATTCATTTGAATAAATCTATGTTGCTCCTCTGCTTATTCCACTCTAATTCTACAATGAGCTCTATTGATGAGAAGCCTCTTCATGGTTCATCAGACTGATTCATGATACTTGCATTCATTTGAATAAATCTATGTTGCTCCTCTGCTTATTCCACTTTAATTCTACAATGAGCCTATTGATGAGAAGCCTCTTTCATGGTTCATCAGACTGATTCATGATACTTGCATTCATTTGAATAAATCTATGTTGCCTCTGCTTATTCCAATTTAATTCTACAATGAGCTTATTGATGAGAAGCCTCTTTCATGGTTCATCAGACTGATTCATGATACTTGCATTCATTTGAATAAATCTATGTTGCTCCTCTGTTTATTCCACTTCTAATTCTACAATGAGCTCTATTGATGAGAAGCCTCTTTCATGGTTCATCAGACTGATTCATGATACTTGCATTCATTTGAATAAATCTATGTTGCTCCTCTGCTTATTCCACTCTAATTCTACAATGAGCTCTATTGATGAGAAGCCTCTTTCATGGTTCATCAGACTGATTCATGATACTTGCATTCATTTGAATAAATCTATGTTGCTCCTCTGCTTATTCCACTTTAATTCTACAATGAGCTCTATTGATGAGAAGCCTCTTTCATGGTTCATCAGACTGATTCATGATACTTGCATTCATTTGAATAAATCTATGTTGCTCCTCTGCTTATTCCACTCTAATTCTACAATGAGCTCTATTGATGAGAAGCCTCTTTCATGGTTCATCAGACTGATTCATGATACTTGCATTCATTTGAATAAATCTATGTTGCTCCTCTGCTTATTCCACTTTAATTCTACAATGAGCTCTATTGATGAGAAGCCTCTTTCATGGTTCATCAGACTGATTCATGATACTTGCATTCATTTGAATAAATCTATGTTGCTCCTCTGCTTATTCCACTCTAATTCTACAATGAGCTCTCTATTGATGAGAAGCCTCTTTCATGGTTCATCAGACTGATTCATGATACTTGCATTCATTTGAATAAATCTATGTTGCTCCTCTGCTTATTCCACTCTAATTCTACAATGAGCTCTATTGATGAGAAGCCTCTTTCATGGTTCATCAGACTGATTCATGATACTTGCATTCATTTGAATAAATCTATGTTGCTCCTCTGCTTATTCCACTCTAATTCTACAATGAGCTCTATTGATGAGAAGCCTCTTTCATGGTTCATCAGACTGATTCATGATACTTGCATTCATTTGAATAAATCTATGTTGCTCCTCTGCTTATTCCACTCTAATTCTACAATGAGCTCTATTGATGAGAAGCCTCTTTCATGGTTCATCAGACTGATTCATGATACTTGCATTCATTTGAATAAATCTATGTTGCTCCTCTGCTTATTCCACTCTAATTCTACAATGAGCTCTATTGATGAGAAGCCTCTTTCATGGTTCATCAGACTGATTCATGATACTTGCATTCATTTGAATAAATCTATGTTGATCCTCTGCTTATTCCACTCTAATTCTACAATGAGCTCTATTGATGAGAAGCCTCTTTCATGGTTCATCAGACTGATTCATGATACTTGCATTCATTTGAATAAATCTATGTTGCTCCTCTGCTTATTCCACTCTAATTCTACAATGAGCTCTATTGATGAGAAGCCTCTTTCATGGTTCATCAGACTGATTCATGATACTTGCATTCATTTGAATAAATCTATGTTGCTCCTCTGCTTATTCCACTCTAATTCTACAATGAGCTCTATTGATGAGAAGCCTTGTTTCATGGTTCATCAGACTGATTCATGATACTTGCATTCATTTGAATAAATCTATGTTGCTCCTCTGCTTATTCCACTCTAATTCTACAATGAGCTCTATTGATGAGAAGCCTCTTTCATGGTTCATCAGACTGATTCATGATACTTTGCATTCATTTGAATAAATCTATGTTGCCCTCTGCTTATTCCACTCTAATTCTGCAATGAGCTCTATTGATGAGAAGCCTTTTCATGGTTCATCAGACTGATTCATGATACTTGCATTCATTTGAATAAATCTATGTTGCTCCTCTGCTTATTCCACTCTAATTCTACAATGAGCTCTATTGATGAGAAGCCTCTTTCATGGTTCATCAGACTGATTCATGATACTTGCATTCATTTGAATAAATCTATGTTGCTCCTCTGCTTATTCCACTCTAATTCTACAATGAACGCTATTGATGAGAAGCCTCTTCCATGGTTCATCAGACTGATTCATGATACTTGCATTCATTTGAATAAATCTATGTTGCTCCTCTGCTTATTCCAATTAATTCTACAATGAGCTCTATTGATGAGAAGCCTCTTTTCATGGTTCATCAGACTGATTCATGATACTTGCATTCATTTGAATAAATCTATGTTGCTCCTCTGCTTATTCCACTCTAATTCTACAATGAGCTCTATTGATGAGAAGCCTCTTTCATGGTTCATCAGACTGATTCATGATACTTGCATTCATTTGAATAAATCTATGTTGCTCCTCTGCTTATTCCACTCTAATTCTACAATGAGCTCTATTGATGAGAAGCCTCTTTCATGGTTCATCAGACTGATTCATGATACTTGCATTCATTTGAATAAATCTATGTTGCTCCTCTGCTTATTCCAATTTCTAATTCTACAATGAGCTCTATTGATGAGAAGCCCTTTCATGGTTCATCAGACTGATTCATGATACTTGCATTCATTTGAATAAATCTATGTTGCTCCTCTGCTTATTCCACTCTAATTCTACAATGAGCTCTATTGATGAGAAGCCTCTTTCATGGTTCATCAGACTGATTCATGATACTTGCATTCATTTGAATAAATCTATGTTGCATGATCTGCTTATTCCACTTAATTCTGGTCTGAGCTCTATTGATGAGAAGCCTCTTTCATGGTTTCATCAGACTGATTCATGATACTTGCATTCATTTGAATAAATCTATGTTGCTCCTCTGCTTATTCCACTCTAATTCTACAATGAGCTCTATTGATGAGAAGCCTCTTTCATGGTTCATCAGACTGATTCATGATACTTGCATTCATTTGAATAAATCCATGTTCCTCCTCTGCTTATTCCACTCTAATGCTACAATGAGCTCTGTTGATGAGAAGCCTCTTTCATGGTTCATCAGACTGATTCATGATACTTGCATTCATTTGAATAAATCTATGTTGCTCCTCTGCTTATTCCACTCTAATTCTACAATGAGCTCTATTGATGAGAAGCTTTTCATGGTTCATCAGACTGATTCATGATACTTGCATTCATTTGAATAAATCTATGTTGCTCCTCTGCTTATTCCACTCTAATTCTACAATGAGCTCTATTGATGAGAAGCCTCTTTCATGGTTCATCAGACTGATTCATGATACTTGCATTCATTTGAACAAATCCATATTGGTCCCTTGCCTATTCCCTTCTAATTCTGCCATGAGCTCTATTGGCGAGAAGCCGTTTTCATGGTTCATCAAACTGATTCATGATACTTGCATTCTTTAGAATAAATCTATGTTGCTTCGTTGCTTATTCCACTCTAAACCACCAATGAGCTCTACTCATGAGATGATACCTTTATGGTTCATCAGATCAATTTATGAAACTTGCATTCATTTGTATAAATCTGTTTGTAAACCCTGGGTGTGTCCTGGTCATGTCAGATCAAATATGTAACCTCTAGTTCTGTCTTGGTATACAGCAACCAAAACGTAATCTCACCCTTGCCTGTTTGCTATATAAGCGATCTTTGTGGCTGGCCATTGAATTTGTCACTTTGATCCAAGTCTTGCTCTGACCCACGTTGTGTTTGATTTTATCACAGAGATGGCTAGGATCAAATCATTGACAGGAATTGCTGCATTGGTTTGGTCCAGGTTGAGTGAAGTTACAATGAAAAAAAAAATTAAGATAAAAATATTTGTGCAGGTATTAGAGAGAAGACTGGAATGTTTCTGGGTCTATATGTTTATATGTCATTCTTTGTACAGAGTTTAGTTACTTTGTAGCATTAAAATTATCAGTCCTTCATGAGAAACATTGATTCTTCCTGCTTCATATGTTAACGTGACACTTTGCTCAATCTAGCTAAATCTGGTAAAAGGCTTAAGTTGGAGGTTTTCTTTGGGCATAATGAAGTGGTCATCTCTCTCTCTCTCTCTCTCTCTCTCTCTTGGTGTCTGGAACAACTTCTATTTTGTCACTTCAATCTCCTGTTTATATGAACTTTCACCCAAAACTGGCATGGGCTTCCGGTCATTCCCTTAATTGCCAACAAGAGCTCATTGTTGTTTGGTGCCCTGAAATTAATTACATGGCCAAATTGAGGAGACTCCATCTTCCATGAGTAGTGGTCACAGCATATTGATCTGCCCTAACTCCTTCCTTCTCATATTGGTATCTCACACAAGTAGCATAGGCAATTCCTCCATCCTCCATGGTGTTTCACCTAGGCCCTTCCCTGCCATTGTCATTTTGATATATTTGATTTTTAAACCATAAAGGCAAAAAGTCATGTCTTAACTTATAATCATTAATTATAATTATTGCTTAATTTTTCAAACTTAGGGTCCTGTTTTCATAATCAAAAATTTACCAGCTGTTTCCTTGACCGCTACTTAGCAAGTATTCGCTCGTGTATTTTGTTCACTTGGTTGTACTTATGATACTTGGGTTTGGTTTTTATCTAAAGAAATCCTATTTCTTCAGCAATTTGCACTTTCCCCTTTTTGACAGGTTAATTAATTTTGCTTTTGTTTTCAAAATTCCAAATTTTTATATCTCAACTGACCCCTGATGAAATCAGGAGACAGGTTTTGTAACCCACTCTTTAGCAAATTAATTATTACCTTGTTTAGCAAAAATTTTCAGCCAACCTCAAATGTTCTTGCATCATCTCTTCCCACCTTGTGGGTTAAAATTATCAAATGGCTTTTTTCAGTTATACTCTTCAGAACAATAAAGTTGTTTTACTTCAAGTCACCCCTACTTCCTTTCTTCAGTTATATTCAAGGAAGAAAACACTCTAAATTTAAAATAATCTGGCTTTGTCTCTTGGTATATCTATCGGGATATACCATAACCCTTTCAGCATTTTATAGTACCACATTTTGCCTATCTGCTTATTCCACTAATTCTGCAATGAGTTCTATTGATAAGAAGCCTCTTTCATAGTTCATCAAACTGATTCATGATGCTTACATTCATTTAAATAAATCTATGTTGCTCCTCTGCTTATTCCACTCTAAACCAGCAATGAGCTCTATTGATGAGTAGCTTCTTTCATGATCCATCACAAGATTCTACTCTTTTGTTTCTTTATGATTGTTTTTCGTTTTTAGACTTTATACACCAAGGCAAAGACAATGTTTCATTTATTTAATTTCTTTGATCTTTTCATATATACAATTTATATTTGTTTTTTACTTTGAAAAAATCAAGAGAATTGTCATCTATCCTTTTTATTTACTCATAACTTAAGGAGGTGTTGGAGAATGTTATGAAGCCTTGGATAGAGAGCATGAGCAAAGTACGACATTTCACCTACCAACACAAAGACACTGTGTTGCTCTCTCATAAGCCCCAGTACAACCCAAAAACTTATGAGTTACATCCTCCATGATCATGTCACCCATATATGGCATTGTGGTTCTTCAGACCTGAATCCATTTGACTATAACATATGGGGTGTGGTCATGAGGGATCAATCAATATAAAAACAATATAAAATAGCTGTAGTCTACCATTGGACTATAAAATATGGGGTGTGGTCATGGGGATCAATCAATATAAAACAATATAAAATAACTGTAGTCTACCATAAGAACTTAGAATATAAATTGAATGAGAATGAAATATTCAATTTAAGCAAAAACATAAATTATTGTTCAGTAGAATCATTGGTTTTTTTTTAGTTTCTTTTAACTAAGTGAAACTAAAAAAACATAAATTTATTGAGGTATGACCCTGACTAAAATAAATACATAAATTAAAAATATTTAGTGAAATAGGAATTTACAAAATAAAACTTACTTTAAATTTTGAAGGGATGATTGGCAAAAGCCTGCTGAGACAAACACAATAAAACATGGAAGTGAAATGAAAGAATTGCACACAGCCAGTGAAGTTTAAATGAAGGCTTTTTTTTCCATAAGGGAGAGAACAACCCCTTAAAACATGTGACCTTTGAATTCTAATGTCATATATGAACTACCATATTTACAAAAATCAGAACATTTATACACACAAAAAAAGTATTTTTAAAAACTTGGTGCATGACTATTTGTATTAAACTTTTCAATTTTTGATTAGTAAATATAGTCTTCACTTAATAACAATAACAGCTAATGCAATCTGACTTTTGCAGAATTTTTAAAAGATTTGAAAATTATTATAATTAAAAAATGAAAACATTTCTTATAAAAATTCATTATTCATCGAAACAAATTTTCTTAAGATGATAATGTCTTTAATTATATTATTTATAAAAGCAATTATGTATGATTTACATTCTCCAATGAGTCTTGCTTTTAATTTAATAAAACAAATTTTATGATCAAAATTTAATTTTTCAAAATTTTATAAAATTAAGTGGGAGTAGCCAATGTAAAAATTTTTTATCAAGATTTTCTAGAAATAATAATTTAAAAAAATAATTTCATTCATTTGTGAATAAGTCCTGAAAGTTTCAGTAAAATCTGACAATTCTCTGATTTTGGAAGAATTTCCAGATTAATGTTATTTTACTGGAAAAAAAGGTGCTAAAATTCCCATAATCCTTA